TGAATTTGCAATTATAGATGCATAGATGCTTTATTTCCTAATCAAATAGAAATGTATAATTTTTCTAAAAGTGGTAGTACAAAATGATCTTATTTTACATACTAAAAATCATTAAAGGTGCCCTTTTTGTCCTCATTGACGCAGTTCGAATATGGAGACTTATGGATTGACCTTTGTGCGTCAGTGTGTCCATGCGTGCATGTTAATGATGGCCATTTTTGTGCTAAAAAAATCATCAAAATCAAACATTTATTGATGGATTTTATTCGAACTTGGTACATGCGTTGGACATTATGTGACCGTGATGCACTTCATTTTATTTTTTAGATTGAATTTAAAATGGCCGACTGGTGATCATTTTGTTTTAATGAATGCAGTTAAAGTTCCATATTTGACTGATTATGTTCAAATTTTATATATTCATCATACATCATGATATATTGAATATATCTGATTCAAAATGGCCAAATGGCAGCCATTTTTGTGCTAAAAAATCAAGCATTTCTGGCATTCCAAAACTGGATCTTGGCATTTATGGATGGATTTTGTTCAAACCTGGTACATACACGAGTGGTTGCCATTTTATTTTAATTAATGCTGTTCCAGAGCAATATTTCTCAATAGTACTCGTTTGACGATCAGATGTCAATCATTTTAATGATACCGGTAATTAAACATCTTCTTCTGGATCCATACTGACATATTTATGTTCCAACTATATTTCTATAAACAAAGCTAAGTAACTAATAGGGACTGTGCCATGCATGTACTTTTTTGTTGTGTTTTTGTTTCGTAGACAGAAAAGCATATTTCTTACTAGATACTAATCTACAAATTACTTTTTGTGTTCATGGAATTCAAACATATGCCATCGCATATGGCACAATATAGCACAACAGATTTCATGCTTATTTTCATTCAGTATCGAATGATGCAGGTCAAACTGTTTTAAATTTTTTCCATAATTCCCATTAGTTATTATTGTATTATTGTATTTTAATACTCAATTTAGAAGGACACATATTACTCAAACACCCACAGACTTATTAAAATCAATCAGAAAAAAAGGAGTTAGCAGGCATTATGTTGAAATATGACATACATCCGTGAATTGCATATAAGCGCATACGTTACTACCGGTGTAAATGTGATTTTCTCAAAATGTATTTAGGAAATTTGAATACCAATTTACGAATGAAATTGAGAGCTCAGGGTGACATTATAATGAGAGGTTTTTGAAATGATGAAATAGGTCATCATGTGAAAACTGTTTGGTTATTAGGTCATTGGGCCATCCATCATATTATAAAAAAAAAAAGCAACATTTGAAGGTCGATTGGGTCTGGACTAGTTCACCATCTTCAATATAGGTGATCTAGTGATCCCAATGTTTTATGATTGGTTTAGATGATCAGATTGAATGCCAACATTACCTTTCCCCTTAACAAAAATCATTTGTAAAGCTTTAACAGATGGTTAAATAAAATGATTGGGAAAAAAATGGCGTCGCCAGGCAATGTGTATCACTGGTCAGGTGAAAATGAATTTGTAATTTTTGTTGCCGCGCTGTATAGCATGACTAAATGTTGAAAGCCTATCATGTAGTGTACAGTGCAAATTTTAGACATGGTCAGAAATCTGGGGACAAGTTTATATTTATCGATTCTGTTTTCTTGCTCATAATATGCTCTACTTCTCCAGTTAAAAATTGCTTCTTGAAATGATCAAAATTGACTGAAATATTGGTTTATATAATTATTATGATAGCCAAAACTAAAAATTTCACACATGTCTGACGAGTTAGCAGCTAATTTGCTTATTTCTTTCTTTTGTGATAGACTTTGCATATTCACTAATATGGCCATAAAGACATCTAATGTTCTGTTCTGTTATAGAAGTATCTATTGTAAATACAGTCACCAAAATGATTATTTAGATATTAATTCGTACAAAACACATGTCTATAAACTAACCAGAGTAAAACAATGTCAAATTATACTGGTATACATGTGCTTCTTGTAGAGCAAATATTTTTGTTCTAATTTTAAAACTATATATATATATATATATATATATATATTTTTATTGATAATTATAAATAGGAGTATTACAGAGTTGATAACACACATCTTTTTGATTATTGCTATTTTTTGTATAGATTCAATTTCTACCTACACAAGTCTACTAGTATATAAGGTGAAATAGAATTTACCCTCATATCATGTTCTGTCAGAAACATTACACCTTGGCATATAATTATGTTATAAAATTCCCGACAGCTTAGCCCGAAATATTATTCCGTAGTTTGCTGCATCTAGTTTGTGCGTGACTTTACTCAGCTTGACTCGGCTTGTCATAATACATGCTTTGCACTTTGCTCATGTACTTTTAATGCGTGAATATAATATTACGTATAAAGATAATATTAGTTTTGTAATAGTTCGCATGATACATCAGACAGACAGACAGACAGACATACAGACAGACAGACTGTGCAAATAGTGCATGCCCTGCTGAAATCAGTAATGAACTGTAGAACTATTAATTAGTCTTTTAAAGTGAGTCAGGTGAAAATAAATTGGTACTTTTTGTTGCCTAGCTGTATAGCATGAGTTAAATAATTCCATATTTCAGTCAGAAATTCTGACTGATTCTGATTCTTTTTTCATAATCCTTATGTTCTGTACCTGTTCTGGTTTAAATTGTTTTTTTAAATGATTAAAACGACTGAATTATGCTTAAAATTTCACATAGATCCGAATAGTAAAAAGCTAATTTGCATAACTATTTTTTTTTCTCTATAAACGACCACAAAAAACCTAATGTACTGTTCGAAAAGTATAAATTGTGAATACTGTCACCAAATTGTAAAAAAACAATGTCATATTATAATGAATTTACCATCTAGTATACCACATATTTAAGAAAAAAATGTTTATTCATTTTGATGGAAAAATCAATGAAAGCTAGTCCTTCCATTCTAAGGCTCTTTTGCTACTTGATGTGACCAGAATACTGTGATTTTTTTTATGTGCCTGAAAACAAGGACAGCACATGGAAACAACAGCTTTTTGTGATATGAACTACTGTTTAGCCCCAAGAATTGTTTATCCCCAAGAATTTTGCTGCATCTAGTGTGTGCGTGACTTTTGTCATAGTACATGCTTTTAATACACTTTGTTCATGTACTGTAATGGATGATTATGATAGTACGTATCAAGGTAATATTAGGCCAGGAAAAAAAAAATCTCTGTTTCTCGTTTCATGGAAATTTTAAAATGAGGCGGCGAGGCGTTTTTTTTTTTTTTTTGAATACTGAGCTAAAATGGGGGAAATTTGAGGAGACAAGTGCAAGTACAAGCACATTCTGGAATGCTTTAGAAGGGAAAAAAAAACGCTGAGGCGCATAGTTCAAAATGATGCGCGCAGAAACGAGAAACAGAGATATTTTTTTCTCAGCTATAGCTTGCCTGTAATGAAGTGAAGTGGAGTAAAGTGAAGTGAAAGAAAAGTCATACATAATAGTGGCAAAATGTCCATCATCATTTTTATAAACTTTTCTTGTTGGTGTGATAACTTCAATTATGTACAAGATTGGTCGCTGAATGGTTAATCTGTAGGTATAGTTGGCCTGTATAGATTTTGGAGTTGCATGATCTTCCAAAAATTGTATTTTTGTTGATTTTTGGAATTTTTTTCTAAAGTGTATATACATGTAGTGTCTATCATAGGGTAGTGATTAAGACTTTTGCTTTGCAAGTGAAAGATCAAGAGATCAAATCCCATGCTAGGAACTGTTTTATTACTTTATTTATTTATTTATTTATTTATTTTTTGAATGAGGAATTCTATAATTTTCATGTGTTTTTTTTTCAAATTATTTTTTTTTTGCCTTTTTTTCAGCATTTTCTTTGATTTTCTTACTAAGTCATTTTGTTCAATAACTTCTGCCATTTTCAATGAATTTGATAACTTTTATCTACAAGAACTGTTTGCTTGATTTACCATATTAAAGGGACATTAGTGCTGGTATTAATTAGGACTAAGCCATTCAGCAAAATAGGGAGGGATATGCTGTCATGAGACCTATATGGTTAATCAGTATGCATAGATGACCTTCCCATTCTATGCTATGATCTTCCCCTATGCAGTCCATTTTCCCACCTTATGATTTGATCTGCCCCAACCTACATGTATGTAATGGTATCCCCTCCATATGCTATGGTCTACCCGCTCTTACATATTACAGAGCAAGCCACATGTTTGTAACAGCCTGCATGTGTAGACTTTACGAGTTGAGTTATACGGTCACAGTGGTTTGGTCAAGGTTTTTATGTTTTGGTCAAGAATGCAACATATTCAATGTTTCTGTCCCTGTTATGCTTTATGAAACTATTGAAACAACGGCAAATGGTTCTAGAGGGGCGGCGACATGAGGGGGGAGATCTGAAATCTAGACCCTCTGAAACGCTATTTCCTGCATTTTGAAGGGGCAAATTTTGATGATCGACCTAAAGTGTTTCAGCTTGATTTGGGGGGTACGATGCCCTCCCCAACATTTTTTCCGAGGGGCTGGCCACTCGTAGTGCAAAAACATTACATCTTCATGTGTGCATCTGAGTGTCCCCACCTGTGTCTCTGACATGCCTTGACTGACTGCAATCAAACTTTACACTTACATTTTACATCAAGTCACACATATTACCATTCAGTTATTTCAGTTTGGTTACTGTTGTCATGACTTGTTATTAAAGTTTGTGATTATTGCCAACAAGCCAAAATCCCTTAATTAAAAATATGCAGACTTTTTTTGTTGTACACTCATAGTTTGATGTATGGGTCCTAGTTAATTGTTATTAAAACTATTGGATCTTTAATTTAATTTAATTTAATGAGAGAGAGGAATTTACATATTGCGTGAGATAGCGTGTCGCATATTATTCACATAAAGTTTGTTGAACACTATAATTTATTACTGGTTTTAATATTATGTTTTGCAGTGACAAAACCTCTAGTAAGTCGTAGCGAGAGTGACGCAGTCTTTCACCAAGACTCTCACGAGGAGGAACCTGCCATGGATGAAAATGCAGTGGTGGAAAAGATTGCCATAGGAACGGGGGATCGGGCAGATGAGGTAGATCAGGGCAGATGTAATGTGGGGGAGAGCAGCATTCCAGCTTGGCTCAAAGCTGTGAGTTCATCATATATGGTGGCTACATGTTTTAAAAAAAAAAAAAAAAAACCCTTGGCATACGTTGCGTTATTGTGCTTTTTGTGACTTAATCCCCTGTTTCCAATGTAAATGTCATGTGACTATTCCATGTATGTTATTACTCACGGAGAGACAAACAACTATAATTCCTAGATCATATCTCTCATGTTAATGGAAACTTAGATCTCATGTTTTATGAGTTTGTTAATCTGCATCGGCTGTCATCATTGGATATTATATGTACTTTGCGCACGTACTAAATTTGCAAAGATTAGTTTTCCTGCCATCTAACCAGTTTCCATTGAAATATGGAAAAAGTTAATTCTTGAAGTGTTTAGGCCACCGAACTTGTATACTGATCAATGACATGACGAAAGTGTAAATTTTTGAAAATTTTAATGAAAAAAACAGTCAAATCATGCTACCGTTAGTATGTTTTTCAGTGTCATATTTGTCTTCCATGTTGTCATGTTTGTATCACATAATTGTAGTATCGTCTTTATTTTTTAATATTTTATTTTGCATATTTTTGTTAACTGGCAAAGAATGGATCAGTTGAGTTTTTTGGAAATGTTTAAACTTCTTATGTTTTGTTTTGTTCATTGACAGAGTCCTTGTTAAGTGGCAGTGCCTTTCAACTGTTTTTAATTCAACTTCCTAGAATCAACTGTTCCAGTGCTTTTTTTTTTAGAATTTATCTGTTTAAGAAAATTAGATTTCTATATAATGGTTTTGCCTAAACTTAGTGATAAATAATACTTAATAGTTATGTAAGTTACTCAGACACAGCGGCGACTAGTTGTGTCATAGTTGTCACATTTAACACTTTAATTTATTACTATATATATAATTTGTTTCAATTAGTTTTGTGCAAGTTTTTTCACTTTAACTAGGTGATTAGTTCCACCAAAAATAAGAAAAACAGCTGCACTGACTCTCAAGATGCACAGCATAACAATGGTGATGCAGGCATTCCAAACACAAGCATGTATTAACAATGGTGATGCAGGCATTCCAAACACAAGCATGTATTAACAATGGTGATGCAGGCATTCCAAACACAAGCATGTATTAACAATGGTGATGCAGGCATTCCAAACACAAGCATGTATTAACAATGGTGATGCAGGCATTCCAAACACAAGCATGTATTAACAATGGTGATGCAGGCATTCCAAACACAAGCATGTATTAACAATGTTTGATGCAGGCATTCCAAACACAAGCATGTATTAACAATGGTGATGCAGGCATTCCAAACACAAGCATGTATTAACAATGGTGATGCAGGCATTCCAAACACAAGCATGTATTAACAATGTTTGATGCAGGCATTCCAAACACAAGCATGTATTAACAATGTTTCACCTCAAAAGCTAATCTCTTAAAGTAATATTATTCTTTTTAATGATTTTACCTGCCTCAAAATTTTGAAAGATTTGTCTTTCATGAAATTTAAAGCAGTTTAGTAGCTTTATAACTTGTGCCATTTAGAAATGCCTCCATCATATTAGTAATAATAAATAAAAACACAAAGCACACAATGAGAGTCTTTGTAGTTAGTGTGCCTGTATATCTGTATGTTTTTGGGTGAATCCATACATATTAATTAATTACCTAATTTGCTTAATTATTAGTCAATTTTCAGCTTTTTCAACTTATTTCAATGATTCTTGGTACATAAAGACAATATGATGATCTAATTAGTTGCATAACAACTTACTTTTTTTTTTTTTTTATCATCACATTATAATGAAACTTGGAACATATGTACAGTACTCATTTCGCCCTACCTCCCGCCCGCTTCCGGATTTCTATCGCTTTTTTTTCGCTCGCTTTGTTCAATTCGACCGTGCAATTTGCTCTTTTTTTTCGACCGTGCAAATCCGGAAGTATCCGCTCGCGCAATCGCTCGCTCGCGCAATCGCTCGCTCGCTCGCTCGCCTGACAGCGCAACCGCCCGCATTTACAGTTCATTACCTTCTGTTTCATGTACAAGTGTA